ACATATACAGAAATGAATTTTAGAACCTGAAAACTCATCGGTGATTTTTGCGACGTTGGATTTTGGAAGACAAAACCCATAGGCGCATAAACTCATGCGTGAGATTTGAGTTTTTGAGTTTTTCCTAACACTTTTACTCTTACATCGTAAAAATTCATGTAAATTTCTGCTATATTAAGCACATGCCTACTTTATTGACTAAATGGAAGCGCAATATAGCATAATTCTGCAATATTGTATACAATCTTGTAAGCAATTTCGATGTTTATGCCAACTATAGTTCATTAAACGTGAGGAGATTTCACATGACAATTAAAATCCAGATTTTCCAGTGCTCTCATCCTGGGTGAACTTTGAGCTTCATGCCTTGAACAAAAAAAATCATCCGGAGCAGAGTTGCGACCTATCACAATCACGATCGTCAAACAGCTGATGGTAGTAACGCTTGGTAGATTCCTATCAATGTGCTTGTCGAAGTACTCTCCATGAACATCCATCAAGTTGACGAAAGAAGTAAAAAGCAACTGGTGAATGTCGTCTGTCGATTGTCATCCGACAATCACGACACTCATCTGTGCTCGTTTTGAAACAGTTGCTGCTTTGCTTGCTTATGTGAGTGTGTTGGTGAGTGAACCCAACAGCTTCCGTTTAATTTTGCCAGCTTTGTTTGTAACTCACACAGTCCCGCGAGCCGAGACAAACTTGGAATGCGTAGACATTGTTTTCATTTTCTTCTGTCGTTTCGCTTTTTCTCATCGTCGTACTGCAAAAGTCTTCACTGGTTTCGTCGTGCTTTACATCATCGGCAGCGAGTGTTACGTTTTGCCCGTGAGTAGCGACCATTACTGGTGATTGTTGTTTGCCTTGGCTCTACCTCTCACTGCGTGACAAAACGTTCTGTCAGCTATAGTCGGTTGATGCGTTGACGAGTGTCGAGTGAGTGTCATGATATTTTGCATCACTGATCCGGTGCCTCGAAAAACGCACCTCCCGTCGCTTGAGTTCGCGCTCTCTCTCTCGCTCTTGGGGAATTTTGTTTACTTCTTCCATTTTTCTGCTGCCTAAACTAGCCGGGCAAGAGTATTTCAAAACCTCCAGTGAGTTTGAAGAGTTTCATCATGCCTGGTCGTACGATAGAATTTTGAAAATTAATAGATAAATCATAGCAATTGTTTTAAGAATCTTGGACTTCAAAAAAAAATTGAAAATTTGCTGCATTTAAGAGTAAAGAAATCAGATTTTAAGAAAATTTTCAACATTCTCAAACTTAGTTATCAAGTTCTCCTACATATAACAAAAGTATATTCTGCTACTTTGACATTTTTTTAGATCTAAGACTAAAAAAATATCTTCAAGATTTTCAGACTTAGAGAAATTTTATCTGAAGGTGCTCAAGATATTAAAAAAAATAGGTTCATGTTACAGGCAAGAACAAGGCAGGTTTCAAAAGAATTCCATATGTCCTTGGAATTTACTAAATTTTATTAGGAAAATTTGTATAAGAATTCCAATGGAATTCCGAACAGAATTTATAAGGAATTCTAGGGATATCACCAAAGTATTTTGAGAAAAGATCAAAAATAGTTCGGAGTAGAACTCTAAGGTTATTCTGGGAATAATTCCATGTTAGGTTTGTAAGAAGAGGCTCAGATGGATTAAAATTAGAGTTCTGGGAAGAATTTTGAGATAATTCTGAGGAGAATTCAATGAAGACTGTCCAATTCTAATACATATCTCAATTAAGTTTCGGGAAGAATTATGGGGATTCCAAGGGAATTCAATGCAGAGAGCGTTCCAAGGAAATTTGGAGAATAATAATGTATATATAATTTACACGAATAGCGCTCAATCGAAAAAAAAAGAATGTCAAAATCCCGGGGGAAAACCGAAAAATTGATAAATGGAGTTTGCTCAACAGTCTTATTATGCACGGTACACTGGAAAAAAATCCTCATATTGTAATCATATGTACCGTGAATGATTTTTTGCTATAAGATCTACCAAATATTATCTAGAGGTGCTTAACTGATTGACTTATGTTTATGTATGGTAGGATGAATATAATGCATAATGCATTCCTTGTGACAATTTTCCCACTAAGTATCGAATTTTTCTAGAACTGAACCAATTAATTATATGATATGAGTAGTAGCTATACTAAAGATCCGAGAGATGTCGCCCCTTCAGTGGTAGGAAAATCATTTTTGCAGTATGGAGAATATCAGAAAATCCACGATTTGTGACTAAACATGCTTTCACAGAAGGAAACAAATAAACGAGTGTTTACCTTATCACCATAGTAATGTACTCGTTCAATTTTTGTGCACCTAAAACTGCCCATAAAGACGATAATGAATAAAAACTGAAAATTTTCATGCATTTCCAAATGGTTTCCTACCATTCCCATACATTCGAAGTGACTGGCCCACTGGATGTGGATGATGTCAAAAACAACAAAACATGATTAATTGGTTGCCCTTTTCATGCCAATTGCTAGTCGTTTCAAATGAGCATATTGTATATAGGAAAATATCTTTGTCATACCGTCATTGTCATTGAAACTTTGATCAAACCATCGCTGCTCTAATCTTCCGACCCGACAAGCATTGCCTTTCCTCGAATCTAGATCCGGCTACTGAACCTAGCCTAGCTCCAAACCACTCCAAATATAGAAATGCAAATCAGTTCCGCCTGGGAGCTCTTTAGTTGAACGATACCCAAACATTTCAATTTGCCTGTTCCCTGAAAGCCAAACAAGGTAGCTAATACTAGAGATGCAACCAGAAGCACAGTGACATGGAATGAAAATAATCCTTGATCCCAATGATGGCCAATAGATTTTGGAACTTATCCCAGTGAAGCCAGCTTCGGAAGGGCTTTTTCGGGAAGATTGTGATTGATCCAAGGGCTTAGTCTGGTCTTCGGTACACACCGGGGAGATTATCTATAAAATCAATTTCGTATATGTGTGTGTGCGTTTGGAGCCCATATCCGGGACGAACGGGTTTCATTCATACGAACGACCGGAGCGGAGAGTAAACTAAATTCAATTAAGCTCAATATATCCGCTCCTCTATAGGTTTAGGTCGTTTAGGTATACCTACCGATAGCACAATAACCATTCAAAAACGTAGGTTGTAACAGTCAGCTGACTCTCGTCGTCTGCCTGGCCGTTACCGGGTGTGCCTCTTTCGTCCGTTTGGATTCCTTTGATTGACGTGAAATTCGAAACCGTATTCGAACCGAATTCCAACAAATGATGAAATTGAATTCCAGCAGAAGAGCGAATGAAACCAGCAAGGGCACTCGTACTGTGCTACTGTCATACCGTGACAATTCCGAGTAGGAGTGAATTTCAAGGGGGATGATGATGATGCTCTTGTATTTATGGCAGTCACATTTTGTGTTCCAATTCCCAAAGTGCTGCACGACATTGCCCACGTGACTGCATTTCACTCGGATCAAATGCAACGTAGTGTACCTACATTTCTTTCCATTCAAGGGCAATCTAGACTGGGAATAATGGTAGATCAGGAGGGGAGTTTCCGGAAACAGATAAAGTAATCAAACTGTGAATTGCTGGTGTTATTAACATTTAGTAAGTGGAATGCTTTCCACTGAACATTTGGAAGGTCAAGGTCTAGATGATTACTTATGTAGCGGGTAGCATGAATATCACATGTGATAGATGATAAAACGACACTGTTGCGTGCTCCGGCCTGTTATCTAGATCAGAGGTCATGGGAATTTAACATCTGGAATAAGGCTTTCAGTTCGTTTCTTTAATTTACTCTAATGATTTTCTCATTAAAGTTGCATGAAAAATGATAATGCTTCTGATAGTCATAACATTGAATGCAAGCTAGCTCGCTTTAGTAAATTTTACTTTTTGAGCACCACACTTGGCTCTCCTCTAAGTAGAGTGCGGTGCACTCTCTTAATCTTTTGTCGCCTTCCATCAAGCTCTGCTGATCACGTGACTAGCACTTTCCAACCCTTTCACACCATCATGTCACTACACTTTTCGTTGTCATTAGTTTATGTTCCCCTAAATGACTTTGCTGATGCACAATCACGCCAGTAAAAGGCATGTGAAAGAACTATCCTTTTATATATCTATCTAGGTAGGGTTAACTACCCCATTTCCGGCCTATTAAGCACAACCCACACTTAGTCTTTCTTTATCTAGCGCAGTTTAGTACCAAATGGAATGTTATCATTACTGATGGCTTCCAAATTTATTTACCTTTCCGTACGTACCAAAAGATTTGATAAAGAGAAACCAATCGTTGAGATATTGTCAAAAGTCTAACACTGCTTCTTGACGCCAAACTCGGCCTACGGATTCTAAACTCGGCCTAACGCTTTGAAACGCCATTGAAACGCCAATGAATTCACTTCGGCCTATCGGATGAAGATAAAACGAGATTCGGTCGGAGCACTTCTTTTGTTTTTGGGAATAATTGATGCAAACCTTCATATCACGCGTTCTCATTGACTTCGCTCCTTAGCTTATAAACTAAAGTATCGTACCAAACGCACAATTGACTTGTTAACTCTGAAATCAAGGATTTATTTGAAGTTTTTTGCTCGATAGGCCCAAAATGGGCGATTAGGCCGAAGTAGTTCTCTACCCTACTGGGTATAACTTTGCAGGACAACCAACGATGGTGGTAGTGGCCGACGATGAAGGCTACGACGACGAGAAAATTAATTTATACGATTATTCTAATCCATTCTTCATACTTATCCTTTAGCGACACTACATTTCCATGCACAAGTGGAAAAGCTATAGTCACCATCTTAACAAAAAACTGCCCTTCTATGAAGATGGGAGAATCCTCATCCAACTTATATACCAAGACGGTTCAAGATTACAGTGACGACTTTGAGTGCATGCTGCATTATAAACAATTATGTATTATGAACAGCAGTTTTTTATTAGTTACAATCCAGCACTTCCCAAAAATTCACCATAAATTTCCCCTCTAATCTTTCAGATACATTCCAACGCGCCTGTGGGGTTTCAGTGGCCACATCCAGACAATAATTCACAGCATCGTCGGCCGCGTGAAATGTCCCTGGCCACTGGGCGAACGGGTGTACCTTTCGCTAGCAGACGGATCAACGCTAACGTACGACCTCTACCAGCCGCTGATATCTTCCGTGGAAGGTAAGCTAATGAGCAGTGTGTAGTGATTCTGGTCACGGGATCGTAATGAGATTTAATCTATTTCGAATGACAGATGACATCACGGTGGCCATCTGTCCGGGTATTGGCAATTCATCCGAATCGGTCTACATTCGCACCTTCGTCCACTATGCCCAGTACCACGGCTATCGGTGTGCCGTGCTGAATCACATCGGTGTGCTCGACAGCGTTCAGGTTACGTCCAGTCGGATTTTCACCTACGGTAAGCTATGAGCAATTCTGAGCAATGGGACGTGTTTGATTGATTCCGGGTGCCATTAGCATCATATTCACCTAACATTTCTGTTTCGTGACAAGTATTTAGATGTAGATTTCTGACTTATATTTCCTTCTTCTGTTTAGATAATTTTAGAATAGCAAGGGTCGCCAAGCAGCAGTTTCATAAGAGCTTCCATATAGGAAGTATGAAATTTTAAAGTAATCTCATGTCATCCAATATTTCCTTTACCCGCTGAATGAATGACCAAATTTTTCAAAAATAATTGTGATTATTTGTTGATTAAATAGTGAACAGAAGTTTTGTGTCGAATGGTATAATCTAAACCTTTTCTTGAAGAGCACTTTATTGAATACAGAGACACATCCAGGTTCAAAGACAAGGTACTATAGTCCCATAGAACGCTTTTGAATATTTTTGGAATCAGTCTACTGGTTCCGGAAATATAACCGGAACATGTTCCGGTTTGTATGAGCCATGTGACCAACACAATGCTTCGTCTTAGTCGGCGTTGACATTTTACGTTTTTATTACTATCAAAATAATCACACCAAAAATCAGTGATGTTTGATTTTTCAATTATTCGATTAGCAATTACAGGGCTGATAGCGAGTCACTTTTTAGTGACTTGGTCACTTTTTTCAAGCCAGTCACTAAAAAGTCTCTTTTTTAAGGCCAAGTAACTAAAGTCACTTTTTCTTGTAATGAGTCACTATTTTCAACTTGCTTTGTGACGTGTCTACTCATCTTTATGAATAAAATTACCTGAGTTTTCCAGAACACTGAGAAAGCTATTTTTTTTTTTTTTTTTTTTTTTGTTAATTACTTTATTTGTACAGGCTCATACGAATAAACTTTACAGAGCCAAGTTATCATTTTCTTTATACATTATAAATGTCTTAAATCTAAAATTAAAGGATTGGAACCGATTACTCGCGGTCTTCTCGAGGTTAGTGGATGACAATTGTTTGGATCGGGAAAGGGAAAAGGAGATTTGGAATATGATCTATGATTCAAAAATTTCACTATTTCTAAAACAAATACTTAATCCTATCGACGTTATATCAACTCTGTAATTATACAATTATTACAGAAACAAATCTACAAAAAAAAAAAATACACCCACACATACAAAACACAAACTAAACACAAGGTTAATCAAAAAGCTATTTTTTGAATGTGTTAAAAATATTCTTTTATGTAAATCAAAACAAAAGCAATTTACCCAAACGTTTTCAAGGCATGGCAATCAGTTTTAAAGAAACAGCTTTTCAATCAAATCCATTGAATGTTAAAGTTTAACACTTACTTCATTTCTCACTTTATAAAGTTAAAAAACTTACTTTATTTGAGTAAGTCCAAGATCTAAAATTATTCAATATCTTGAAGTTTCGTATTCCATGTACAAGTTCAATTCAAATTTCGAAGTGCCAGAATCAAGGAAAAAATAAATGATTTATTTCAAGTTCGTTTAGAGATCTTAGAGCTTAGAGATCTTTACTGCAGTCCCATTAACTTCACAACAATAGTGGGAACTTTGGAGAAGAAAGAAATGCTGAGAATTTCAATAAAGCTCCATAAACAAACTGCGTGAACATAAGGGAAGTTAATACGCTGAAAATATGGAAACTGACTGGAAATCTTAGGAACCTCAAAACGGTTCATTTAGCATCGAAAATTTTCAGGAACTTTTATGAAGTTCCTAGAATTTTAGAGAACTTCCCAAGTGTCAAGCGAACTTGAGAATTATATAAAATATAAGGGGTATTGTGCTAATTTTTAAGAAGTTCTAAGTACCTCAGAAAAGCTAGATCTAGGGATCTTTGGGGAATTTAAGAATGTAATAGCAGTTTTCGTAGCTTTAGTCCAGACTATTGGAGCAGTTTAAAGATCTATAATCTTTAATTTAGAAAAAAAAAAATCAGAATAGTTCCATGATGTGCTGAAAAAAAAATCGAGAACCCTTAAGATGTTCCGATTCAGGGATGTACAGAAGCCTTCCGAGAAATTATGAAAACTTCAGAAATATTTCAGCAACTTCACAGAAGTCCAGAGAATGTCAGGGAAATTTGAAGGTGTTTACGAGAATTCTATTTATTTTCGAGCAGAACTGAGATCCTCAATAGAATTTAAAGCTTTAGGGAAGCTTCGGGAACATCAAGACAGATCAGAGAATCAAAGGGCAGTTCAAATAATTTCAAGGAATTGTAGAAACCTGTAGAAATTTAGAGAATCCCCGGAAACTTTAGCAAAGCTTCGAGAGAATTAATGGACCGTGATAAAAATTATATGAACATCCGGGAAACGTGAGAGTATTTTAAGGGTGTTATTTCATGGAAATTTCAAGAACTTAAAAAATGCGAAAATTTAGCTTTGTTGATTAGAGAACATCAACAAAGTTCCATTAATTAAAAACATGCGAGAACTTTTAGCAAGTTTCAAAGAAATCCAGAGAACTTCTAATACATTTAGATATTTTTAGATGGTTTCATGATATTCAGCGAAGTTCCGAGTACTTCGAGGACGATTAGATGGCTTCAGAATAATTCCATCAACTTAAGCAAATTTGAAGGATTATCAAACAAATTTAGAGTTCTAGAGTTCAGGTAAGTATAGATAATGCAGGGAAAATTAGTGAGCGTTTATAATTATTACAGTACTTGAGAAAAATTGTCGAAACTTTAAGGTAAATCATTTAATTTCAGTAAAGTGGCGGGTTCTTTAAAAAATACTGATAAATTCAGGGCAGTCTAGAGAACTTTGAGGAAATTCAATAATCGCTTAGGCAGTTTTAATACCACCAGGAAAGTCTAGACTATTAAAAAAGTTTTAAATTAGTGCCAATAATTTACGGGAAGTTTCATGAACTTCAGAAAAATCTTGAGAACTTTAGAGAACATCATAGTACTATATTAGCTATGTAGCTCTAATTCCATGAAAATTGTGGGAGCATAAAAGTTCCAGATGTTTAGAAAAACTTTGAAATCTTCACAGAAGGACAGTGATCTTCTGAAACATTTCGAGAACTTCATAGAAACCTATGGAGCTTAAGAGGAGATCCGCGAACTTCAGGAATTTGTATTAACATTAGCAGAATGCGGGAGCATTTGAAAGAAGTTTAATAAGCTAAGAAAATTGGAAGAATTTCTGGGGGATGTCCATTTCATTAGTTTCAGAAGATTAGTGATAATTTAAGGCAGTTCCCAGATTTTTAGATAACTTCAGATACGTTAAAAATTTCATTAAGGTCTTCCAATGAGTTAAGAAGTTCAGTGAAGCTTAAACATTTTTAGGATGGCTCAATTAAATTCAGCGCAGTACAACAAGCTTCATGAAAACTGCAAAAACCTTAGAGAAGTTTTGAGAATTTTAAAAGCTTAGAGAAGTCACATACATTTTAAAGAAGTTTAGAGAACTTCAGCGAATCGTTAAACCTTTAGATGAGATATATGGTCGTTAAAAAATAGTGGAAATTTTAGGATGTCATTTAAATTTTAGGGAAGTTTAAAATTTTAATGAGAAGTATTGTGAGCATCAGGCTAGTTTCTCAAACAAAAAAGAACTGAAAAGCAGTTTCATTAACTTCAGAAAAAATTTGGGAACTTTCAAGTAGTTCTGAAGACCTCAGATTAGTCCATTCTGATCAGTGTTGGGAAAATATCAAAAAATCAAATCTCATCAACGCCCAAGATCACGTTAGATTTTCGTAGACAAAAATCAACAAGCAAACTACTGCGGTTGTTTTTGCAAGCTGTGATATCGCAGCTCGGAATATCAAGCTAACAAAACTCACCAACTGCAAATTTCACCAAACTGTGGTGAGATTGAGTTTAATGATTTTTGCTTTACTCCCGTATGCAACCATAATTTCCATAACGGCTTGCAGCAGTCCCTTCGCGTCTGCCATTGGTGAAGATTAAAAAGAGATAGCAACTATTCTTTCTATTTCCAAAAAAAAAACGATGTGCAATGGAATCATTTATGTGTCGAGTCAACTCTCAGCTTGATTTTTGCACATTGTGAATAGTCTCGCAATATCAAAGGAGCTTGTAAAATCAATATCAAGCATGATATTTTGTTCCAATATCACGCGTGATATTGCGAGCGCATGACAGCAGAGAAATATTAATTGATTTCTGATTTTGCCAACACTGATTCTGATTTCCATTGAAATATACCTCAACATTTCGATGAAGCTTCGAATTAAATTTTCTTTCCTCGGAATCAGTTCCTCCAGTTCCTTCCAGTTTTCCTCGGAAATATCTTGAAATTCACCACAATAAGAAACCCTTTGGAAAGATTCTCCGAATATTAATTGAATTCATTTCAGATTTCTTTTTGAATCTCACTCCTTCTCTTGGAATTCTACTCACATTGAAAGTCTCCAAAGAATTCATTAGCATTTCTCCTCACAAATTCTTTAGATTTCTTCTCGTAATTTGTATGGCAAACTTTCCTGAATTTATTTTCCGAATTCCTTTGAAGATGTTCTGGAGTTATTCTCAGATTTAATTTGTTTTCTCCCACATACTTTATGAAACTATCCTCAGAAGATCATTGGAATTTTCCTCTGAAGGAGTTGCTCCTCAGAAATTACTAAGAGTTTTCATTAAAATTTGCTTTTAATTCAATTCAGAAAGCAGATTGCATTTGATGTTTTTCTGAAAGATTTTATTCCCAGAATTCGCTTGGTCTTAAGAAATTTTAATAAAATTCAACGAGCTTTTAAAACAGTGCATGGAATTTTACTCCAGATTCTTGGAAATTTCTTGAAGTATTATCGCTTTTGAGTCCAGAACTAGTTCAAATTTTAAATTTCTAGGAAATATGCATGTTCGAAAAAACAACATTTCAAGTCTCGGTTTTTGTTTTTAATTTATGTGTTACTAAAGATTAATCCACTTTATCTATAATGTTCAAAGTGAGAATGAAAATAACGAGAAAAATTAAATGCTTGTATTTTAAAATTAATTGTTTTCTTTAAA